TGGAGGCATTTGACATACAAATGAACTACTGGGCACAGAGAGAGCCCCCAGCAGGAAAAAAAAAAGGTGCTGCCGAGATTGTAGGAAATGAATGTTGTCAGCCATATCTTTCTTGGGTGAATCCATCTTACATCTCTCTCTCTTGCACTCTCTCTTCTCCTTCTCCCTTTCTCTCCCTCCCCATGAACACAGAAGTGTGCAGTGCTGCTAGGGACAAGCTGAGGGTGTACATTGTGAATCTGCTCTAGCACTCCCGACAGCAGATGTGTGTGTGTCCCTCCAGATGTTGTTGGGTTGCAACTCTCTTTGCCGTTCACCGCTGCTGATGCTGTCTAAGGCAGATGGGAGTTGCAGTCCCACAACATCTGGAGGGCCACATGTTGCCCAGTCCTGCTTTATGTGGTTGTTCAGGCATCTGTGTTTACAATCCTGTTTATCCCTCTCTGAAGCCAAAGTTAATATTTCTCAGACTCTAGAATCTTAATAATCAACACATCTCTGGATTTAGGAACACGGGGAAATGGCTTATACCAGACCATCTATTCTGATTTTGTCTATTTCAACCAGCAGATCAAATCAGGACCTGGAGATACTATATGGATCCAACCTAGGGCCTTCCATTTAGAGAGCACATGCTCTCCAATGAGCTTTTGCCCTGTCCCAAATCCATCAGTTTTAGCCCATGCAATTAAAGATTACATTATAAATATAGCAAAGTACAGTATCATCCAAAATCCACAAAACAGAGATACCTTTATTGGGCCAACCAAAATGCACTTTGCTGTGCAGCCAACACAACAACCCCTGGATATGTTTTCTGGATTATAAACATAGGTCATGGTCAACATCTTGCTTTGACTTTCTCTATAATCTCTACCTCCATCTTCATTGACTTCTGCTGATTTCTTTACATGGTGTCATCCAGCTGGTAATGAAACTGTGACAATAAGCAGACAGGTAAGATATTCTATTTTTATTGAAGACAAGAATAAATGTACTCCTAACCCAAATTGACAAGGGATCTATGCCAAATTTTACCAAGTGATAGTTTAGGCACAAACTATAGCAAGCATGTGTACAATGTGGCCACTGCTCCTCCTCTGACAGTAATTCCTTTTCTACTTTATTAGTCAAATATTAACCTGTGCAACTATCCAACATGTGATTCGGACAATACAGGAAAAGTATAATGTATTATTTTGGATGTGTTGAGTATTTGGTGCTTTCACAGTGAATATTAACATACTGAAGGTGGGGGAGGGAAGATTCAGCTATCCTGGTTGAAAAATTGGACAGTTAAAGTGAAGAACCTTAATGAGAAGAGATTGGCCCAATTCTTCTCTAGAGGTTTTTCATTCCATCTTCAGAAAAGGTAGGCTGAGTTACATTCACGGACCAGTTCACTTAGTTTTGTTTTCCAATGATGCTTTAAACCAGGGACCGGCAACCTATGGCCCGGGGGCCGGTTAAGGCCCCGGGCCCCGGACTTACCGGCCCAGGCCGTAGGTTGCCGCTGCTGCACGCCGCCGTCACCGCCACTCGCCGCCGTCTCAAAAAGGTCTCAAAAGGTTGCCTGTCCCTGCTTTAAACAATGCTTTAAGAGCAATTGTTGGAGAAACCAGACTTATTCATTCATTTCCCAGTTCTGCCAACCAGAGATGGATGGATGGATTGGTTGTATTCATTGCATGCATTCTCCAGTGAGCTCAAGGTGGTGTACATCAGTGCTGTTCAGGCTACTTGATGTGGGGACCAGCAGTTATTTTTTCTAATATGCCAGGGACTGGTGCCATACAGCTGTTACAGCTGTTGCTTTCATTTCTAGAAATGTGCCGCAGATTAGCGGCAGACAACTCAAGAACCAGTTCTGGTCCATGGACCACCACTCTAAGTAGCACTAGTGTAAGTAGCTTTCCTCTCCATATTATCCCCACAACAACTCTGTTGGATAGATCTAGCTGAAGTAATACAGCAACTTTCCTGTCTGAATTGTTGTTGCTGTTGTTGTTGTTGTTGTTGTTATTATTATTATTATTATTATTATTATTATTATTATTATTATTATTATCCCGCCCCTCTGCAGATGCAACCGGGGCAGCTTACAACATTAAAAATACCATTAAAAAATACAATACAAATCCCACCCACCCCTTAAAATAGTATTAAACAATGAAGCAATTTAAAACATATTTAAAATAAGTCACAATGACACAGAACAAACAAACTAACAACAAACAAACAACAATACTGCGGCAGAGATTGGGGGAGAAGGTGGGCTAACTCTTGAGGCCGGGATATCTATTCAGGCTAAGGATTTGAACTTGGATTTCCTATATCTCAGCCCAACAATCTGTCCTCTACATTGTACTGGTCTGTTCTACACCTTTTGGTCTATTTTGATGTGGTATTGGATCCCATTTTTTCTATATTCACCATACAACAGTGATGGTTGTTTTTCTTTGCCGTGACTTCATCAAATCATGTTGCCTCTCTCCCTCATTTTGGAACGGAGTTATGCTCTCAGTGTGATCGCTACACCGCAGACCAATTAGATCTGCTTCCCAATTGGCAAGAGTTGGAGGCATTGTTAGATGGACCGTAGGGGACCAGGCAGTATGGAAGGCTGATGCAATTTGTAACTAATAGATGTGGTTTTGTACTGAACCTTACGATTACTCTGTAGAAAGCACGTATTATTTACGGTTAAATATATAGTGTGGAAAGTGTGGCCATTATGTAAGCGTAATGCCAACTATGGAGATGACTTGCCACATGTTCTTAAATCAAATACAACAGTTTGTGTCACGCTGTTCTAGATAAACACACTTACTAAACACCTGAAAGTCTCTGGAGGGAAAAGACTTCTGCACACACAACACTACGGATGCCATGTGTGAGGGTGCATGGTTTGTTCAGGGAGCTATCCTGATGGGAATGGGAAGTTCTCAGGAGAACATCACAAGAATGTTGAGGTCCACTTGGCAAGAAAAGCTTCAGCATCAATCAACAAATCACTGTATGGAGTTGTCCTAAGACATTTTGCTGCCTGAGCCAGAGGACAAAATGCTGTATATAGAACCCATTCTGTGCAAGATTTCTGTTCCATGCACTATCTCAACACTGGCAATGGGATAGGACTCACTGTCATGCCAGAGGGCAGCCGGCCAGTTTGCAGGGAGAGTTACAGGATAACCCATTGTGGCACACGTTGTTTTGTCTTCAAAGATAGCACAAGGCCAGAGAGCTCAGAAGGAATATTGGGGGGATGGTGGTTACCACTGCAACACACACACACAGCATCTATTATTCGAGGCAGTTGACTCACTTTGCTCAATAGTAGGGCCAGCCCTGTATTGTTCATTCCACTGTGTTCAGTGTGTTCTAGTACACATACCAAAGAACAAGATGGTAAAAATCCTGGTGCTGGAGTGGACCATACAGTTTTAGACAACAGATGGAGGCACCTATTACGCACCTTTATGAAAACAGCCAGATCAGGGAGAAAACTCCACTTCATATTTATTCATTTGCCACCTTTCTCCTGGTTTTGTTGTTGTTGTTGTTGTTGTTGTGTGCCTTCACACAACAACGGCAAACTTATGGCAAACTGACTAATGGCAACCCCAAGACAAACGGTGTGACGTAGTAGATTTGAACGTTGGACTATGGTTCTGGAGACCAGGGTTCAATTCCCAGTTTGACCGTGAAACCCAGTGGGTGACCCTGGGTAAATCACACTCTCTCGGCTTCTGAACAAATCTTGCCAAGAAAACCCCATGATAAGTTCGCCTTAGGGTCACCATAATTCAGAAAAGACTTGAAGACACACAACAACAACAAGGCAAACCTATAATGGGGTTTTCTAGGCAAGATTTGTTCAGATGGGGTTTTGCCTTTGCCTTTCTCTGAGGCTGAGAGAGTGACTCACCCAAGATCACCCACTGGGTTTCCATGGTTGAGTGGGGATTTGAACCCTGGTCTCCAGAGTCGTAGTCCAACACTCAAATCACCACAATATGCTGTTTCTTGTTTCTCCTGGCACTGGATCCTATTGTGCTGGTATTCTGTCTGCTGAGAGTTTTTGCACATAGCAGAACCTGACCTATTTTATCTTCAGCTTGAAGTAATGTAGTCTATTCTGCCACCTTAGATTTTTACTGTCTCTTTCTGTTGGATGTGTAAACTAATAAGACCGCCTCACTTGAAAATGGGTGTGCATAGGATAGCAACCTAAAATGGTAGAATTCTCGACTGTACCATTTAAGGTAAGGGAGGGGAATCCATATTTAGGACATAGAGTCACCATACAAACACACACAACACTGAGTTTCTTCACAGCATGCGAGTCCCATCACCAAATCCTTCTTTTCCTTCCACTGCTTGATTTCCTAAAAAGGTATCTCAAGTGATTTTTGTAAAAAGCCACACACACTCACATACACGCACACACATACACACTTAGACTTGGAAGCCAGTGTGAAGCACGCTGATTGAGTAATGGCATGCAAATCTCTCTCACTTAATTCAATTAAAGAATTTGGGTTTTCTGGTCACATCAAATGTAGGACGGTTACAGCCTCCCTGTTCTTTCATAACATTCTTTTTAGAAATGCAGTGCAGACAGATCTTCACTCTTTTATTTCTCTTGTGTCATGAGTCTTTTTTTAAACAGTTTATTTTTTTAAAAAAAGAATCCTCCTTTCTTTGCAAATCCTTTTAAAGATGTGGATGTGAGAACTCAGCACAGTGTAAATAATTCATCTTTTATATAGCTCCTGATCCCAGTACATTCTCACAGCTCTGGACTCCTCCTTGCTGTTTTAATGTTGATTCTTGCTCCCTTCATTTGTACCACCTTGTGGTCCTGCCAATGTGTGGCTGCACCTTTTTGCTTATTCCTTACAAATTCTTCAGCATTGGCATCAGCCAAGGTCAGTGCCATTACCTGTCATTCTACAGCAGCTGTTGGATCCCCCAGTTCACCCCACTATAGGGTTATATGGCTGAGTGGGGTTTCGAACCCTGGTCTCTAGAGTCATAGTCTAGTGTTCAAACCACTATGCCAGACTGCCTCCCTTAAAAGACTGGTGGGAACCACCACCAACCATTGTTAAAACTGGACTGGCCAATATATATATATTAAACATATATATTTAATATATATATATGTATATTAAAAAAATAAAATTGTAAATTATTTAAAACATTTCTTTAAAGACATATCTCACAAAATTTTCACTTTAATCACATGACACTATGTGTGTGTAAACTCATTCAGGTTGTGTGTATGCTCTTGTAATTTAAAGATATAATTTTCATTTTGCTATTTTTTTTACGTCACAACTATTACCATTACATTCAGTGATGTATGGGAATTATGATGTATGAGTAACTTCAGTACAAAAAATATTACTAAGGATTCTGTATGGTGTGGTATGGGAGAAGGTCAGTTGTTGACACCATGAATTCGCACACCAGGGGACGACAACTGTAGTGATGCCACTGTGCATACTTACTTATCTGTGGCATTAACAGATTCAGCAGCCTCTGTATGGACCATTTTATTCCAGGTTTGTTGGGTTGCTGGTTTTTTAAAGCCATGACACATTCATCGTTGGGAATGGAATAATAAAAACAAACACTGAAAACATTTAAGGCATCTGAATATGAAAGTGTGTGTGTTCAGGGCTACACAGATGGGCATTAAAAGGAAGGAAAAATAATCTGGTGGGCAATCTGACTAGACTCATCTTTGGCTTTTTTCTACCATTGGCTATTCTCCCATGAAACATTCCATAGATTGCTTCTCCTGGTTCCCGTCTTTATCTCTTTCTTTCCTATTCATAGCTAGAAAGATTGCTTGAAATCAAAAGTGCATTTCATGCTGTTTTTATTCTGAATATTGATTATGACTGTAGGAATGCTTTCATTTCCCATGCACATATTCCACTTGATGTAAAACCTTGCGCTCTTCCGCCTACTGTTCAGGCTGTGAGATGCATCCCCAAAATGACACTACCCAGGAAAGGAAAATTTTAGCAAGGCTGTAGGAACCCCCAGATTTTGCAGAAGTACAAAAACCCTTTAGGCCAGTAGTTCCCAACCTGTGGTTCTCCAGATGTTTTGTACTTCAACTCCCATCATTCCGGACTATTGGCCAAGTTGGCTGGGGCTTCTGAGATCTGAAGTCCAAAACAAATGGAGTTCCAAATGTTGGGAACCACTGATTTAGAGGGGGAAATCCAAAAGAGAAGAACATTGGTAGGTGGAAGCTAACACGTTAGAGGACCCATGAATCCACACTGGGTTATAGTGTGAACCAGGGGTAGGCAACCTTTCCCCTTTAAGGGCCGAGGGACTTCAGCTTCCAGAATCCCAGGAGCTATTGGCCAACATGGGACTATTGGCCAACATGGCTGAGGCTTCTGGGAGCTGAAGTCCCTCGGCCCTTAAAGGGGAAAGGTTGCCTACCCCTGGTGTGAACTTTAAAAATCTATCTAAGATGTTGGACATATTTGAAAGATAGGGTTCAGCACTGTGGATATCTCCTTTAAAGTTTAGACTAAAACCCAGAGTGGATCTCCCATTGCACTGACATGAAAATCACCAGGCATGACTACTGTTGTGTTGCTGTTACAGTTATTTGTATCCCACCTCTGTTGTTGTATTATAGTTATTTGTATCCTGCCTTTCTCCCAAAATTGGGTCTCACAGTGGCTTAGGATTTTTTTTAAAAAAGGACAATACAACTAAAAACATACAAAAAGTGAATGTTAAAATGGATTAAAACTAATTACAGTATTAAAACAATTCAAAACAACACCTTAAAAGAAAAGATTGAAAGATGAATCCTCAAAGAGTCCAATGAACATTCAACATGCTCAGTGGTTTTGAAATACTGCCAGACTGTTGCTCGGAGGGATGTGCAAAACCAGGAGAAATGGGATTGGGATCGAATATCCTGAACAGAAGTACTCCATGTTGCAACTTTTTGTTGCAGGTCCAACAAATTGTGGTTGTGTGATGGTTGAGAGCAGGAGGTTGATAGAAGCTAGATTACATTCCACAGGTGGACTACCTATCAATTCCTGATGGATCTCCCTGTCATGTATTTATTCCTAGTTATTTCCAAATAAGGTTTCATGGGACAGATCCTGGCTTGATCAAAAGGATATTTGTGTTCTTCAGGAAATGAGCACATTTAAGACCACATTTTGTTGTTGTTGTTGTGTGCCTACAAGTCATTTTCAACTTGTGCCCGCTCTAAGGTGAATCTGTCATAAGATTTTCTTGGCATGTTTCTTCAGAGGAGGTTGCCATTGCTGTCCTCTGAGGCTGCAACAGTGTGACTTGCACAAGGTCACCCAGTGGATTTTTATATTCAAGCAGGGATTTGAACCCTGGTCTCCAGAATTGTAGTCCATCACTCAAACCACTACACCAGAGGTAGGCAACCTAAGGCCCAGGGGCCGGATGCGGCCCCCCAAGGCCTTTGGACTGGCCCCAGGCCAGTCTGCCGCCGCCCGCCATGATGATATTGATTATGGTTGTTATTACTTGTTCTTGGGGTTTTCTTGGCAAAATCTCCACAGGGGTTTTGCCATGGCTTTTCTGGGGCTGAGAGAGTGTGCATGCATATTTTATTTATTTAATTTTTATTTATTTTTATTTTTTTATTTTTTTTTATTTTTTTATTTTTAAATTTTTATTTATTTATTTATTTATGGTGCTTCAGCCCCCCAATTGTCTGAGGGACAGCAACCCGGCCCAAAAAGGTTGCCTACCCCTGCACTACACCATGGTGGCTTAGCACTGAGTAATTAACAGGTAAAAAATCCAAAAGGATCTAGTCTTGCTTGGAAATTAAAGCACGTTGGTGGGTCATCAGTATTCTAGAAAGCAAAGTAGACCACACAAGACTGAAATAAAGCCTTCACTAGTTCAAGGGATACAACCACACCTTCAGTTTCTTATGTTTAGAAATTAATGGAACTTCTGTGTGTATTATGGCACTCCATGAATTTCATAGGGATTTCTATGGCAAGGAATACTGAAAGGTGGTTTGCCATTGCTTTTTTCTGAATATGTAGCCTATAGCACTTGATATTCTTTGGCAGTCTCCCATTCAAGCACTCACCAGGGCTAACCCTGCTTAAATTCCAAGATCAGAGGGATTTGGTGCCTTCAGAGTATTTAGGCTTCCTAAGATATAATTGCATACTGAACTGTCATCTTACAGGCCAATCCTGGGCTGCTGCTACACTGCAGAATTAATGCAGTTTGACACTGCTTTAACTGTAATGGCTCCTTCCTGTGGAATCCTGGAATTTGTAGTTTGTTGTAGCTACAGAGCTCTTTGACAGAGAAGGCTCAAGATCTCACAAAACTATAAATCCCAGAACTCCATAGCATGGAGCTATAGCAGTTAAGGCAGTGTAAAACTTCATTAATTCTGCAGTGTAGCTGCAGCCCTACTCATTGTTATTCAGCAGTAAGCCCATTAATTTCTATGGGACATCCATCTTCATTCTCATGACTAACTATGTGTCCTGGGGTAGGAAAACTATGGTCCTCTAGATGCTCCTGTATCACATCTCTCATCATCCCTGACCTTGGATTGTGCTTGTTTAGAGTAGTAGGAGTCAATCCAACAGCATGTGGAAGACCAAACTTCTCTGTCTGTAACATATTCTCAGAGGCATCACAGTTCTCTTACCCAAACACCATTATCCACACACACAGTGGGGGTACTGTTAATACTTCAACAGAAGCATTAAAAATTGGGGGAAGGGGAAGAAAACCGGAAGGAGGACTCCAGAAATAAAACCATCTGGATAAGGAGAGAATGGCGGAGGACACTGGCTGGTAAAACTAAGAATGGAATGAAATGTGTGGAATCTAACATATAAGCACTCCAGAGTTCACACTGCAACACTTTGTTGCAGGTATCCCCTTGTGTAACTACACATAATATTACAGCCTGTGTGTGTGTGTGTAAAGATTCTTGGTGTTGATAGTTAAGGTGATGGTGGGAGATGTATTGTGTAGGTTCACAACAGACTCATAAATGTGCAGATTGCAGAATGCAAAAGGCATTAATAGATGCTTCTCACAAGAAACCTTTCTGCCCAGAAGACAGACAAATGGGGACTTTTGATCTCTAACTCTTTTGTATTGACAGTTTATCATAGATACTTGGGACTGCCGGCATTGACTAAATGCTTTTCATGGCTGGGAGAACACAGCGCTGCCACCAAAAGGGATGCTTGAATCCTCCAGTAACTGGGGCACACACTGGGTATTTTCTGTCCTTAAATGAACCAATGCTAAACAGACATGAAGGGTGCAACCGATGGGAAACTTTAAGTGTACAAAACACACACAGAGAGACACAGACATGCCACTCTATTCCATCTTTTATTATGCAAGTCCACAGTGGAGTGGTTTTTACTAAATGGGGATCGAGCCCCATTGACGATAATGAAATGAGGTTGCTTCACACAAGCCCAGAGATTTGGCTTTGGGATTATGAGATTCAAATATTGAAAGTGCTTTTAAAAACAAACCGCTCAAATTAGCCAGATTAATGAGTGTCAGGGGATCTATGTATTCAGCCAGTCTACGGAAGAGAGGGGGAAGAGACATAGTTTTCTTCATCCTTCTCCCATTCTGTTCTGAGGCTTTGTGGCTATAGTTTTCACCCCTTCCGGGCTTTTAAAAATTCATTATTAACAGCTTTGTATTTTTATACCATATATAGACTCATTTACCTTCCACTCAGTGATTTACCCATCCATCCATCCTCTCTTTCTCTCCACTTTCCTCTTGTTTTTTTTCTTTTTCTTCATTTGCAAGCATGGGGGCACAGTTAGGCTAGTAAAGTGTGGAATATTGATCTATTTATTATTCAAAACTAAGCTTTGATGATATACCAAGACATTCTGCATATGGCAAAACCCAAGACCACCACAGGGATGGTGGGAGAACTTGCTCTACCATGTCTGGAAGCAATAGTAGACTATTTTAGGAGGTTTTGGGTAAATCATATAACAAACAACTTTCTTCTCAAAATCTGGGTTTTCCATTTTTATTGTCATTGTTGTTGGGTTTAAAAAGTAGCCAAGAAAGGACAGCAAGAAAGATAGGGAAAGACAGAATACATAAGATATGATCATGGACTAGGGATATATATTAATATAAACTGATGATGTGTTTAAAAAAAATCTGCTTGGAGTAAGTGCCAATCCATTGCTGCCACATCCTAGTGTCTAAACGCAAGGATGGGAATCATGCAACCCTATGGGTATTGTTGGACTGGAAATCCCAGCAGTTCTAGCCAATGGTGAGGAATGCTAGTAGTTGCATTTTAACAACTGGAAGGCCACATGATTCTCCACTTCTCATCTATTACCTAATATTAGGACCAGCTCTGATTTGAATCTTCACGGCACAAGCATGGGATCTATTTGCCATAGGTTGTAGTCTCAGTTTGGCTGACCACTGTACTGTGGCTTCAGTACTAGGAGTTTAATATAAGAAGTAGGGAGAATTTCCACATCACAACCCACCAATCTCCCTTTCTAAATGTCCCAACCTAAGATAGCAGCTCTCTGCTAACATCAGCTGTGAAAAGGCTAGAGAACATGCAAAAGGTCCCATGTTCAGTTCTTGAAAATGAATCTTATCTGACATCTTGAAGCCAGTGTAGACAATATGGAGCTAGATGGACCAAGCTCTGAGCTAACATAAGAGAATTTTCTAACTGGCTAAAACTGGCTGGATGGGGATGATGAGCAAGAATACTCACCAGAGGAGAAATGGGATTGAAGTTATCATAGATATAGGTGCTTTGAGAAGAAGGAATGGTTGAGTTATGATCTGGTACCTCTTGTTAGGCCTTCCAAACTGAATGCTCTCAGATATGTTTTAGTCCAACACTACAATTCCCATTACCCCCAGCCAGCAATGGGAAGGGATGCTCTAGGCCTACGTGAACAGGGTGGTTATTCACCTTGGCTGATCTTAACTTTCTATTATTTTTGTTTTCAGGCATCATTGTTGTGGAGACAAATCCAAATAGCTTGGTAGTCTTTTTGACAAAAGGCTTGGAAGCTGAACAGTGTGTGTGTGTGTGTGTGTGTGTGTGTGTGTGTGTTCTCAGCTGGTTGCTCACAGAGGTTTGCTGAAGGATAATTATGTTCTTGCAGCATAGGCACGTATAAGACGATGTGGATGGGAGGTGGGGAGCTGGTTCACTCCCATTGTTCCTGCCCACACTTTCAACCAAAGGTCTGAAGAGACACTCTGCCTTTCCTTGTAAGTTCTTGGTTCACTCTCCACACAGTTGGGGGATCCTTTAGAAAGCAGGACCCCCAATCTGCTAGGTAGAGCACCTCAACTGAATGGGCAGAAGTTGGGGCTAGTAGCTATGATCCCATGCTCCCCTGTTCCCACCATGGTTGGCCCAAGACATGTGGCAGCCTGAGATGAGGACGAAAATGGCTTCCTATTCCATACACAAAAAGTGATGAGACTGGGAATCAAATACCATCTTTCATGGTACTGAAATATAGCAGAGGCCAGTTCAGGGCAATGCAGCAGACTGTATTGTTTGGACAGTTCTTTTTCTAATAGAAAAAAATGCCTATGGGTGCTCAAGAGGGATTGCCATTGCTCTGCCCCGCTCCCCATATTTGCTGCCTGATTCAGTTGCCTCACTCTGTCTAATAGTAGGGCCCACTGCAGTCCTCATGTTCATATCCATGGATATTTCAATTGAATAGATGATGAACCAGGTGTGGGAAGGGAGAACTGAAGAAGTAACTTTAGGAAGGAAGGATGTAGAGAGACCTTGTAGCACCTTTGAGACTAAGGAGCTTTGCAGACTTGCCCAAAGAGCTGGCTTGAGGGTGGAGTTGGGGCGGAGCAGCCGCATGTCAGCTGCCCCAACTGCACCCCGATGTCATCCTGATGCCGCGCGCCCGTTTGCACAACGCGCGGCATCAGGATGCCCTCCCAGCGCAGCATGCAAACACGCTGTGCCGAAAGGGCACAGAAAAGCCGTGGGAGGATTTGCCAAAAAGGGAGGATCGGGGCCACGGCGTGGGGTTGCCGCAGCCCCAATCCACCGTTCCCTGGGGCAGCTCTGTGCCACCCCTTTAGTCCAGTCTGCATCGGCCCTAACTCAAAGTCTCAAAGGTGCTACAAGATCTTTGAATTCTATCACATTAGGAAGGAAGACACTGGTACAGTGGTCCCTCCACATTTGCTGGTTTTAGGGGTGAAGAACCCCTGTGCATGTACAGAAATTACAAATAAAAGAACACTATTCTTTTTACCTAAGAGAATACCTCTCTAGGAGTTTCCAGGTCATCCAGTGCAACTCTGTGGTCAACATCTGCCAGAGGTTGATCATAGAATCATGCTGGAGGACCTACAAATGCTTAGAGA